GGGGGGGGCTGCCCAAGGACCTGAAGCCTAGAGATGTGTCATCAGGGTATCAGAGACACCGAGGGGCTACAGGATTTTACATCAGACCTCGGTGGCCTGGGGGAGGGCTGGCTCCAGGGCCTCCAAGATACCGAAGCCTGCAGCTGTGCAATCCCTGGTGTGGAAGTACTATGTTATTTGCATATAACCTACGCAAACCCCCCATGCTCTTCTCTTTTTTTTTTGAGACAGAGTCTCACTACCTTGTAGAGTGCTGTAGCTTCACAGCTCACAGCAACTTCAAACTCTTGGGCTTAAGCGATTCTTTTTGCCTCTGCCTCCCAAGTAGCTCGGACTACAGGCACCTGCCACAACTCCTGGCTATTTTGCTGTTGTCATCATTGTTGTTGAGCAGGCCTGGCCCGGGTTTGAACCCACTAGCCCCAGTGCATGTGGCCGGCGCCCTAACCACTGAGCCATGAGCACTGAGCCCCCCATGCACTTTAAATCATCTTACGTGAAACATCTAATACAATATAAGTGCTCTATAAATAGTTGTGAAATATATTTTTTATTTCTGTTACCCTCATGTCTCTAGTGAGAACTGCAGGGTCAGCTGAGCACCGACCTGTTCCCATCAAAGGCCACTGCCAACCAAGCACCCACTGAACCATGACAGACAGGACGGGGGGTGGGAGGCTGAGGCTCCATGAGCAGAGAGACCCCAGGGAGCTCTTCTCCAGCTGGGGGCCCAGTCTGTCTGTCCCCTAGCTGGGACTCTGGGCACTGGGGCTTGGAGGAGGCTCCGTGTGTCTGGGACCACACTGTGGGGCTCTCTCTGTTCCTGGGTCTCACTACCCCAGTATAATTGATCCCCACTCCCTCCTACCCCAACCTCAGCCTTGTATGGGGTGAGTAATCCCCACCTGGCAAAGGCTGTGAGGTCAGAGGAGCACTTGTCCACTGCAACCCCCTTCAGACCAGAACCAGGGGACAAGCCCTGAAGAGCCCTTTGCTCTCCAGATGTGCTTTCTGCAATGGGGACAGATCTGGCCTCGGCACTGCTGTCCCCAGAGAACAGCCCATCTGTGTCCCCCGCCCAGGTGATTCTGTGCTTCTCCCCTGTGGGCTCTGTCCTGCGTGTACGAGCAAGGAAGTTCCCTGCGGTGGTCAACTGCACGGCCATCAACTGGTTCCACGAGTGGCCAGAAGACGCCCTGGTGTCTGTCAGTGCCCGCTTCCTGGAGGAGACTGAGGGGATTCAGGTGAGTGTCTGGGGAGCCCCTAGAGCCCAGAGGATGAGGACTGGAACTGCTCTCTGACCAGGGAGAGCTGGGGGAGCAGAGCCTTGAGCACGCCATTTAAGGGGCCACCAAAAGCCTCAGGAATGGAGGGAAGTGATGTTTTAATGTAATAATTTAAAAATCAAAAATAATGCTAACAAAATTTATGATGAACAAAATATCAAAATGGTGAACAAAGACAGGCTGCTGTATTTCCATTTCCTGCCACAGGAAGGGCAGGGAGAGCCTTTCTAATGAGCCCCCCACACCGTGGCAGGGACCCCTGGCTGTTCAGAGGGATTGGTATAAATGGCCCAGGGACAGAGCGGGTCACGGGCCTGCCCCTGGGTGCCTGGCTGGCTGCAGAGCCTTTGTCCACTCTGATAAGCATATACAGGCACGTTGCTACCTCCAGCCTCAGGCTCCAATGGGCTCAGCCCAGCCCTTATAGGGGGCATGACAAGTGTGACATCCCCTTGCAGGGTGTGTTTCCATTGGAAGATGGTGCCGTGCTCAGTGTGCATTAACTGTCTGCCAGGAGCTCAGCAGCCCCTGACCCGCCTCTGCTGTGTCAATGCTCTGTGGAGGGAGCAGCCCCCACGAGCCTCTCTTTCCCACTGTGTCTTATCCTAAGAGCATGTTCAGTTGTTAAATAGTGAAACCCTGAAATTAGCTTTTTCCCTGGTTTTTAAAGATGGGGAACAGACTCCGCTTGGCACTAGAGCTGGGCTGCTCCTACAGCAGCCCTGAAGCTCAGAGGGTCCCTCTGGCTGCGGGTTGTCCCTCTAGGAGTTTGGTAGAAGAGTCCCACAGCCAGCGCCGCGAGGGCCACTGCGGACTGCTGAAGTGTGTGTGGCACACAGATTAATCAATTTGATACTGTCCTGAATCAGAATTCATACCTTTTGGACAATTTCTGGGGCAAAGCATCCAGCGCCCATCTTCGGGTGGAAGGGCAGGCCCAGGGGGCCAGGAAAGAGGTACTGAGTCCCGGACCCGACAAGTCTGCTAAGTTACCGGGGGTGTGAAAACATTCTCAGGGTGTAAAAACATTTCCCAGGCATGTGAGTGTGCGTGTGCTCGTGTGTGCACATCACAGAGAATGACGATCTCTGCTGTGTCCCAGGCACTGAGCTAAACCCTTTCGTGCACAAAGCCCTTGACAGCCCAGGCAAGCGTTCCTCCCTGAGGCCCCTTTGACAGTGGAACAGCTGAGGTTGAGAGGCCTTGGAACACGACGTCCAGGATCCCACCCCCTGACTCGCTGTGGCTGGCAGCAGCCTCCACGTTCCTGGGGCCTCTTAGAGAGCCAGGCCAGGACCCCGGCAACAAGGGGGTCTTGCAGGGATGGGATCCGGGGGCTGACCGTGTCACCTCACCTTTGTAGCGGGAAGTCAAGGCTTCCATCAGCCTCTTCATGGCCTATGTGCACACCACCGTCAATGACATGTCCAAGATGTACCTGGCTACCGAGAGGCGCTACAACTACACCACACCCAAAACCTTCCTGGAGCAGATCAAACTGTACCAGAACCTGCTGGCCAAGAAGAGGATGGAGCTTGTTGCGAAAATTGAGAGGCTGGAGAATGGGCTGATGAAGCTGCAGAGCACAGCTTCCCAGGTAGGAGAGGTGGCCAGCCCACCCTGCACCACCCCCACAGGCCTCAAGGTGCCATGGCTGACACAAGCTCCTCTGGGGACAGTCACATGTGGGGCTGAGCATGAAGTAAGATGAGTGTAAGTAGTAAGGTGATTCCTGTCTCCAAGAACATGAACTCCTAGACCCGGCAGAGCGGGTGGCATGTCCCGATACTTGAAGAACAGACTGGAATTGCTTCATTTAGATCTCATGGAGGGCACTTTGCGAGGTGATGATGGTGCCATGCCCTGCCCATGACAGTGGTTATCAAGTTCACGCAGCCAGTGAAAGCACATCCATTCTTTTTTTTTTTTTTAAGACAGTCTCACTCTGTTGCCCCTGGTAGAGTGCTGTGGTCACAGCTCACAGAAACCTCAAACTTCTGGGTTCAAGCGATCCTCCTGCCTCAACCTCCCAAGTAGCTAGGACTACAGGAACCCACTACCATGCCCAGTTAATTTTTTTCTTTTTTTCGCATTCTTTGACCAGGGCCAGGTTTGAACCTACCACCTCCAGTATATGGGGCCAGCGCCCTACTCCTTTGAGCCATAGGCGCCTCCCTTTTTTATTGAGACACAGTCTCACTATGTCGCCCTTGGTAGAGTGC